CCAGCGCCTGTCGGGGGTCGAAGGGCGGCTTTCTTACAGCTTTACCCTAATGCTCCGAACCTGAAACTCTAAATCCGAATCTCCGAAACCCTATCGAACCCTGAAACTCTAAACCTCTAAGCCTTAAGCACACGACCTGAATCGAACACCGCCCTACACCCCATTCTCGCCTCCTCCTCTTCGCTGTCACCCATCATTCCGAGCTTTCGAGCCTCGTGGCGCCAGAATCGATGCGAGTTTTCAGGGAAGGGTGCCGCGAGCTTTGGGTCTAGAGTTTAGAAGGGTGTAGATGGGTGTAGGCAGTTCAGGGTTTCCTCGGTTTTCGGGTCTAAGGCTCAGGGTTTTCTTGCAGTTTGGGATTTGGCTCTGAGCTTTGGGCCAGATATCGTTCGATGGCCTTGCTCTGGGGGAGTGAGAAGTCCCCGACCTCCAGGATGGGCACCTGGAAAGGAAGCCGGGTTTTTTCTTTTTAGGGCTTTAGGGCTGTAGGGTTTTAGGGTTCAGGGTTTTGCGGGCCTTACGAAGAAGTACATTGAGTTGAGGGTTTGGGGTTTAATGGGTCGACTCTGGACTGTGGACTGCAGAAGGAGGCGTTGAGGCCTTTGGGGTTTGAGGTGACTGGCACCTTGCCGAGGGCAATGTCCAGCTTGCCCGAGGCTTTGTCATCATCGAATTCCTCACAACAACTGACGCAAGAGTGCTGGCAAACCGACAAAACCACTCTCAGGACCAGCCGCACCCGTTCTGATGGCGCCTGCTTTTTCCTGCCGTCTCTTGCTGGCGCTGTTCCGTCCACGAGTGGAAAAGGAGAGTGGCCTGTAGAATCTCCGCAGATGCATCACGCAAATTCGTGCTTGCCATCAGGTTCCGGGACGCCTGAAAGGCTTTCGCACTGGAACGGGCCCTGGCATAGCAATCGCTTCCATGAGCAGCTTCAACATGTTGCCAATATCCATCTTGATGTACATGCCACTGGCCCACAACATGCCAGAAGACGAGTAATGTCATCCTTCTCTCAAGCCCTTGGCACCGCACCTTGTAGGGACCCCCACGGCTGCGGAAAATGGCGTTGGGCAGGATGGGATGTACATATCCTCCTGGGTCCGGGCTTCCAGTTCACTCCACTCCGCCGCTGAAACATCCGTTCTGGCTCCAAGCCTTACATCCCTGCGATCCGGAGCAGGCAGAAATTCGTCTGTGGGAGTGCAGCATGGAAAGGGAGCACTGTCGGATTTGGGCGACCTAATTCCACAGGCCCATGCTTCTGCGCAGTCCTGGACAGCATTCTTGCTTGAAGACTGCCAGCCTTTTGGAAAAAGCCCTTCGAGGGTTACCAGGTACCAGCCATCTTTCTGGAGACCTGTAAGACACTCGCGTCGGCACGGGATCTGCAGGACAGCAGTGTCGCTCTCAGTCTGCAGCCCAGCCAGAGTGGACCGAGACAAACGTCGCGTCGGCAGATCCTTGCACTCCGTGGCAGCTCCTCCTCCGTGCAGATGTCGGCCACCCCTTACTGGCGAGGTTGCACTCCTCCACCAGCTCGCCACCCAACTTAGAAATGCGACTGGGGCTCGAGAAGGGAGGAGCCTCTTATGCTGACGATCAGCTGTCTCTACCAAGCATCTTTCTGGAAACCTTGGGGCCTAGTATGGGCACGGAGGTCGAAGGGCGGCAAGCCCTGGAAGTTTGCAGCCAAGCACTTTTCGCAAGCCAACACCCCTAAAATTGCGCTTGGCCGTCTCAGGCCCGACGCCTCTCGCAAGCCACGGCAGGCATGCCTGGGGCCCAGGGGGCAACCGCATGGTTGCTGTCTCACTCGTCACACTCGTCATCCTCCTCGGGCAGCAACGGAAGGATCTCCAAGTCTCTGCAGGGGTCAGCCTGCCCTGGGATCCTTGCTGCAGCACACGCTGCCAGTCGCCAGCTCTCGTTCCAGAGCTGGCAACACTCCTGGCAGGTGTTCGCGCAGCAATGAGGCCTGGCAGGAACTTTTCGCCACGCCATCCGGCCGAGGACCTCGCGCCGCCACACACGGTCCGTCGCTACCATCGCATGAGTCAGGAAGGGCTCGAAGGGGCTATCCATGGGGGGAAGGGTGGGAAGCTGTCGGAGCTCGTCGCCTACATTCGCCTCAATATTGCCAGTCTCCGCCGCTTCGACTCGCTGCCTGCACGGCCGGAAGTTGCGGGGGACGCTGCGGCTTCGCTTTCTCCCTGACCTTGTCTCGCGGTATTCGAGGAAGGTCCTGTTCGTTGTCAGCTCGAACTCCAGCTCCTCATCCTCTTCTCCGCCGGCAGCTGTATCAGGGGTCGTCGCCGGCTCGTCAGTGTGCGGTGGCCGGGGAGGTGGCTTCTGTGAAAACTCCCGGGGCAGCTTCTGGCGCTCGAAGCAGCAGCAGAGCGAGGCTTGTGCACCGCCCATGGCNNCACACAGGCCCGATACTACTGCGAAGGCACCGAGTGAATTTCACATTCAAGGCACGGTGCACTAGTTGTTGTGCAGCTGTGGCATGCTCCTGTTGCAACCGCCCTGCTGCAGCGATCGTGTACAACCCAAGATTCACAAGAGATGCAATGTTAGCGAAACAATTGGAAATCGAAGCTGGACAAAGCATCACCACAGTCAAACCTGAAACCACGGCTAAGAGCACGCAGCCGACGCAGCCTTGATCCTCTGCGTTTCAGACATGTTCAGACAGTCCATCAATGGCAACCCATGTGGGCGCCATATCGGATTGCAGAGTTTCCACTCTGAAGAGCCCGAGGCCAGTAGGCCGGTAGTGGTCAGATCGCCCAAGCTCTGACATGCTGCAGGAATGGATTTGCTACCGTTGGCTCTTCATCCAATGCTTGTTTGGCTCATTCCTGACCTGTCCGCAAGAAGCAGAAGCAGCAGTCCTTTCGAACGATGGTGGAGAAGTCCCCAGGCACGCCGAAGCTCAGAGGATACCGGTTGTCCTGAAGCTCGACTCTGATGACTCAGAGCGCACCATCCCCGACCATGTGACAAGAAGATCTCGACAGGCCTCGTACTCTTGGCCCGCAGCTGCAAGCAGGAGGCGAACGGTCCTCGGGTTCGGTGCCAGAGCAGGTTGAAGGAAGGGTTGAAGGATGCCGAAGGCGAGATCCGAGGCTGCCACTCAGCCGCACCGCGGACGTCGAAGTATCGAAGTGAGTAGCCTTGAAAAAACAGGGACAGCCGACAGATCAGGGTGTCCTGCAGTCTTCTGATGCCATGCTTCCTGGGCCATCGGGCTGTCAGCGTGTCGCGCTACTTGCACCTTCCGATTGCAAAGCCCACTTCGTCACTTCGCTTACTTAGCAAGGCTTGCGGTTTGCCGTGATGCTTGGCCTGTCTGGCAACCGAGCCGCCACCCACAAAGACCGTCTTGACAAGCTGCGAAGTCTGCAGGGCAAGAATGTGGGCCCATGTCAACAACAAGCATGGTACTGAATGATGCTGAATGCCCCTGAATCCGTCGCATCATCTGATACCCATGCAAGAACAAGAAAAGCAGGGTACGGCTGGCCTGCCACGAAAGCAGGAAAATTGCTGTCGCAAGCAAAGGCCTTCCGAAACATCGAAGGCTGCTCCGGTGCAGGGGAGGCCCGTGCAGCGGAGTCAAATCCCTGCCTGCGAGTTGACCGCAGGACGGCCATGAGAGCTGCACTAGGGCTGGACGAGCACGGGCCTGCACAAAACGGAGCCACACGGCTTCGGAGGGGCGAGCGGAGGATGCACTGGACAGCTGAATCGAAAGGACTGCGGGAGGATCCTGCTGAGAGAGCTACTAGTCGGCCTTGCCACGGGCTGATGCACTGCGCTTGCCCCCTTGCCCTTTGGCTTTATGCTTGGCGCGAGCTTAGCAGATGCACGCAAGCGAGAACAAATAAAGCCAAAAGTGATCAACAAAACACTGAGCAAGCAAAACCGCTCTCATCGAATTAGCTGGAGGTCCTGTCTGCCTCCGACAACTGTGCCTGGAGACCAGCCAGAGCTGGAGAAGCTGGAGCCAAACAGCTGTCAGATCCTCACGACGCTTGCCATCCTTGCAGCCGGTTTCATGGCCACGGTGCGGGCTGGCGCGATGGCTGAACTAAATACAGCATGCTTGGCTTCCAAAACACCATCACAAACTGTGTAACAAATGTAAGATGTTGGGCTCTTCCATAGAACAGCAGAGTGCGTGCCAGCACCGCATGGAAAACAAGAGGGCCATCTGTGGAAGGCTGCAGGCCTCACGCCGCAGACCTGGCACGTGGCATGAACTTCAGTACACAGCTCACCGAGCTGTGGACTCAAATCCGGAGTGAAGACATGCGTGCCGGCCACGAAGTAACCAGACGAGAACAGGCTACATCGATGAAAGCTGGACACAGTACAAGGCATGCCAGGCTGACAATGCAGCAAACTTCACGCAGTCTTCCCCGATCCCCGTCCGACCAAGGACGTCACTCGCTCAGTGACCTCGAGACTCAAACTGCCCGGGAAGCTGAAGCTACAAGGACTCGGCCCTTCGCCTGGGCGGCAGAATCCATGGTCTTCGTTCGAAGGTAGCCCGCAGATCTGGCAGCGGAACAACATGGCGTGCTACATGTGTCAACTTTAAGCACAAGCTTGGCTGGCATGTCAAGATACCTTCCCTTTAAGACATGGCTGGTGCAAAGGTACTTCTTGCGTTCTGCACTTGCTTTTTTCCATGCATACGTGACATGACAGAGTGCAACGGCCTGGCCTTTTGATCTCTTCTCGGTACGTGAAGCCGACAAAGCCACATGCACCGCCTGGCACGCAGCCAGGAACATGGCAAAGGCTCCATGAAAACCCAAATCCTATGCAACCCTGAACCTACAGAACCTGAAAGAATCCCTTCTGATCTGGCCCCAAATTCTTCCAAGGAGCCGCCGAGCGCCCCGGCACCTCCGCCGGTGGTCGCCCCGGCTGCCAAGCCGATCCCGGCACTAATTGGGATCGAGAGACCCAAGGTGAAGACCGCGGGCACCTAGGACACATCGTGATTCTGTACAAGTTCTAGTTACTCTAAGGGTTCTATAAGGGCTACAAGGGCACGCGGGGTTCTATGCCTCACCTTCACCTCCACAACCGCAAGGAGTTGAGAGCCGGGCCAAACCCACGGCAGCGCCACAGGCAGCGCCGCAGGCCGCACCGGCCACGGTGCCCAGTGAGCCACCCAGCCTGGGTCACAGCTTGGGGGTTTAGGAGTTACGACCTTGAGATACCTTGACGGTCTAGGGGAGGTTTAGGCTTGCCACGCTTTGGGGAAATGTCGGGCGTCGGATGATTATTGTCTGCAGCAACCGTGCGGTTCACTATGTAGCGTGATGGCGAACTATATAAAATATATAAGATATATATGTATGATGTATAATATAATACTATAACATATATATGTCTATAAATATATACAGATACATATACACACACACACACACTTCATGGGTCGCGCAGCATCGTCGAGGCCGAGGTGAATCCGGCGCGCGAGGAGGTTGCAAAGGTCATGGCCTCGCCCGCCTCCAAAACAGCCGGTCCGTAGAATGAACTTTGGGCCGCATCGGTTGGTTACAATGCATGGAGAGCTTCTTTTGGGAGCCTTGGGAGCGACAGCCGAGTCGGCTTCATTGGGGAAGTTTACACGTCATGACACATCTATCACTCCGAAGCGAGGAAGTCACAGGGCAAGCTTGCGGCTTCATCTTTCCATGCCTTCTCGTGGGCTTTCGTTCTGGCCGAGTCAATGGCGAGCTTGGCGCGAGAGGTGACACCTTCCACCAAGGCTGCCACGTCTGCTTGAGCTAGGCTTTTGTGCGCAACTGTTTTGCAGATTTTAGACCGTCGCCTTTGACCGTCTCGCATCCGTCGGACAGGGACTTCCGTGCCGTCTCGCATCCCTCGGACAGGGATTTCCGCGCCTGCAAGCAGGAACAGACGACTAGTGAAGCTGTCAAGCAGAGCGAACCTTCAACTGCACGCGGACCACGCCGTCTTTAATTTGGACCTCAGGATCACGGCACATCCTCCACGTCAATGAGGGGCATTGAGTTGAGAGACTCTGTACTTGTAGAGGCAGAAGCCGCCGGTGCCCCCGGCCACACCACCCGCTGTGGTGCCCACGAGGAGGCCTTCGGGAGATGCGACTTTCCCTCTGCACTCAGACGGGGGAGGAAGCACCGAGGCCTGCAGCGGCGCCAAGCATGGCCCCTGCTGGAATCGACAGGCCAAACCTGCAGCTTGCGGTCTGTGGCCAGTGGCATGCAAAAAAGAATCAAATACAAGCCAGGCAGCGTTGCCAGTGCAGGCGCGACCCCTGCGACGGAGCCGGCCACAATGCCAGTGGCTATGCCGAAAGCGCCTCCGGCAGCTCCCACAGTGATAGCCTTTTCGAGCGCAGGACTAGGCTTGGAGAAGCAAATTGTGCACTCCAAACAAGCCGAAGAGTTGCGCGTCTCCTGTTTCGCATCATGGTGTTGGATATGTTCGTCTTGCTAAGAGCCTTTCTACACTGCCACCTTGCGCTACTACGAGCTTCTCCTTTCACCGAATAGATCACGACTACCTCGCTCCATCACTCGAGTGCACTACTGCAACAGAGCTTGTACCGAAAACTTACTAGGTGTTGCTAAATTATTGGCAACATGGGTAATTGAAGTTCGTTCCTCTTTCATTCGTTTCACATCATTCCCTGGCAAGCTTACGGTAGTAAGGCACGATGACATCTTTTGATGCTGTACGTACATTATGCTGTCGATGTAATCTTTTGCTCCAAAAACTTGTGGTTCTGACATTCCATCAGACTGACAGCGATGTTGTCTGTTTTTGTGTTGTGTGCCCGTTGATTCTACCGCTCTTGTATATTGTCACAGGACTCCCACGCTTCTTCTTAATGCTCAGGTCCCCGTTTTGGCATTGCGCGCCGCTTCTGTCCAAGTTATGCCGCGTTATGATTCTTGTGCCACAAAGCTTGCCTGGTGGCTCAGCCTGTCAGTCGCTCGAGAAGTTCGAAGCTTGTCTGCAATATCATTGTAATACTACCGAAGTCTATGGCAAGATTAATGTACTGATCGATTCTTCTATGTGCACGTTGTGACTACACGAGTAGCACAAAGAGTGAATTGACAATACGCTGCTGAGGTTGCGACCCCTGCTCCAGTAGAGATTGTCAGCATCTGGAACTGAGGTTCCTGGTTGCCACAACCATGCACACCGAACAGGAATTTGAGGAACACCTAAATGGGATTCAATAAGATCTTCAAGGCGTCAAGGCGCCTTTCCCGGTCCGCCGTCTCGTGCCCAAAAACCCTAAGCCCTAAACCCCCGAGCCCCAAGCCCAAACCCTAAGCCCTAAGCCCAAGACCCCAAACCGTAAATCCAACCCCAAAGCCCAAGATCGAAAATGCCAACCCTTATCCCCAAAAGAATTCAAACGCCAAAACCTCAACCCCAAACTCTAAACTCTGAAATCGCCGATGCCCAACAACCCTAAACTCACAGCCCTAAGTCTCACCAGTGCGTCTGAAATGCACCAGGCTTGCGTCAGACTTGGCCCTGACATGGTGTTGGATTTACACTCGCCTTGGGCCGGAAATCCGGGCCTGAAATCGGACCTGAAATGCCCCCCCCCCTCCTCCCTCCCGCTCCAGCCATCTGAAACACACAACGCCCGACCACTCAGGCTTGGCAACATTCAATAACCTTTCACTTTGCTCCAAAGGAAGCTGGTGTATCACGGCTTTCATCGAACCAAGCTAGGTGTGGTTGGGCGCGTCTGTCAAGCACATGGATAATTAGGCACATTGAGCAAGAACCGGTATGCGTCCTTCACCATGGCAACTATCCTCGTTCTGACATCCTGGCCACGATTGGGCTTGCAACGAACTTGCGCCAACCAAAAGCGGCACCTCCGCGGCGCCCTCTCGAGTACGGACGATCGGCTGCGACCTGGGCTCGTTGGACTGGTACAACTAAACAATAGAGAAGTATGACAACATGGTGGAGAGGGTAGAGCAGCCGAAACACGTGGGAACAAAACGCACTCGAGGTTGGGCTTTCGGGAGGGGGATAAGCTGACAGAAGCATGAAAGGTGTGGGGGAATCGTGCGAAGCTCCAAGCATCATCACATCGAAGAAACAGAACGGATACCCACATGCAACCACCACAGCAACGTAGGGCAAACGCAGCTGGCATCATCACATCTTACCACATCCCATCACATCCATTCTCCAGCCGCATCAGCAACTCAGCAACGGAAAGGGAAGGGGATAGGGGGGAAGCAGACAGAAGTGAAAGCCTCGCTACGCTAGCTCTTTCATGATTGGCTTCATGCTCCGACTCAGCTGCATTGTGGTGAATGGTGACGTGACTTGTTGGAATAACACAACTGGGCTGTCCTTGAGGCCGATTTACGCAATGACCTGTGGTCTTTTGAGTTTGGTGGCATATGTTGTTCCAATATTCCGCTTAGAGCTAAATCCTCAATGTTGCAGTGAACACAGTACTTGACTACTTGCAACAGCTCTCAACAGCATCCAGCAGCATCACAGACAGAAACCCTCACGAGTCCGGCACTTCGCATCTGTCACCTGTAGCAGCGTCGCCGGGACACCACTGATTAACTCAAGTGCGGACTTCCATTTCCACACTATGCCTTGCTTGCAGCTGCTGCTGAAAATTGCGGACAACATGTCGTGCAGGTGCGCGGCCTCACCCATGCCGCGGATGGCTGGAACTTTCTTTGAGGCAACTTCTGTGTCCGTCCAAACCTGCAGTCTCAGCCGTGGGTCGCGATGAGCTCAGTCAGGTTCCAGTGAACAGGCGAGGACTACCGAAGGCATGGATCAAGGGTCTTGTCACAGATTGCCAACTTAACCCCAAACCCTGAACCGGCGTTCGACCCGGCCGGAGGCGCCTGGAGCTGGGCACGACAGCCAGGCTCTCAGCTTGGGGCCAAGAGGAGACGGCCACACAGACAGCAAGCCGCAAGCCTACAACGCAGCTCTCCAAAAAAGCGGCTTGCCGCTGACCTCAAAAAAGGCATGCCGAAGGGAAGCCACAATCCGGACGAGGCTGAAAGGCCCGCTGTCCCTCTGAATTGCATGTACTACAGTACTGTACACAACCAAGTAGTCAAGGTACAACAAAAACGGCAAGGCACTTTTGAGCGGGCAACATGGAGCAAGGAGGCGCTCCTGATCTGGAAAATTTGGGCAACGCCAGCTTTGTACATCCGCCCACTTCCCTATGCATCCCAATCTCGAGGTCCTTTATAACTTGATGTGTGTGTATATCGTTGCATCCAGTAACACCCGATCCAGGAATCCAGGCTTCAGGACTTCGGGCTTAGGGTTTACGTTTGTGGGCTTTGACGTTTCTAGGACCTCTTGCAAGGTGCTGGGCTAGCACCAAGTGACAGGGACATCAAAAGCAACAGCTACTGCTCACCATCGCGCTCGCGAATCTGCTCCTCGACTTCAACAGGTGCATCGCAAAAGGGATTAGGGCTGGGGTTCAAAAGGGCTTGGAACTCGAAAGGATAGTGAGCCTAGACCTTGGATGGTCTACCTGCGGTCCCAATCACTTACATTCGCCTTAGAATTTCGGACCTACCATTCTGCGAGATTCGGGTTTACAGGGGGGGCGTAGGAAGAGATATTTAAGACTTTGGGGTCCTAGCCCTTAACCGCCTTAACCCATGAAAGCCGACGATAGATCCTAAAGCCTGAACCACCACATACGACCATAACGGCCACCAACTACGGGCCATTGTTAAAACAACCATCCCAGTATTACAGGATCTATGTCCTGAAACCCACAAAGTCCCAAAATGCAACGATAAACATGCCGAGTCAAGCCAGGCCGAGCCAAAGCCAAGCCAGGACAGAATCGGGCCGGTCAAACATTTTCGTCACCACTGCGGCGGTACAACATTACCCCAATGCGATGTGAAGTCTACTGCTACTGTCACCGTATGGGAAGCAGTCCAGCAAAGGAACAGCAGCAGGCAGAAAGGCTGCGAAAAGCTGACAGCACACAGCTCCGTCCTCGCGGAGGCTGCTTCTTAGCATTGCTGCTGTCGCCATGGCACTGCGCTAGTGCTTAGCTGGCTTGCTTTTGCAACAAACAATACTGGAACACCCCTTTCAGGATCGCGATCCTCCTGCACACGACACGAGAGCCGTCAAGCTTTACGTACCCCGTCCCAAAGTTTTGGGGCCAACAGGGGCCCAGACTTGGGCGATCTAGGGTTTCAGCCTCACACAAATAGCTACACACTGACACTGGAGCTGAAGAGCTTGAAAACTTTGCAGCGTGAGCGCATCGGTGCTTCAGAAGAAACCCGGGGAAGTACAAACACTGGGCAGGCACAGCCCTTTTCACTGCAGACTGCAGTTTCGAAGAAGGCACCTGGCTTCACGCCATGCTCTGAGGAACGTCTACGCAACCAGCAAGGACATTGACAGCTGAGGTGGAAACTCGCCGCGACCGAAGCATGATGCGGGATCAGTCCGAGCCTCGGTCATAGCTCTCAGCTACTACCAGCACGAACATGCTTGTTGGTTCTTTTCCTGTGCCGTTGAGCCAAGGTTCAGGGTGAGCAGGTGGCATGATGCCGCTTGCGCTCGCCATACCAGGATCCACCCTGGTTGTCACCGGCTGACTCCAAAGGTCTCCGGATTTCCGGCGGAAGCAAAGCTATCCCATGACCTGTTCTGAGGACTGCACCCTTGTGCAACTCGAGCGCGACCTGGAGGTGGGGCTCCCGGATCAGCATCAGCCGACCGGGAATCCTCCATGCACGTGCTAATCTCTGAGATTTCAGATGTCAATGCTTGCTTGGCATGGGAAGACTGGTCCGGCCTTCTTCTTGTCTTGTTTCTTCTGCTGCTTTGGGGTCTTGTGCTCATAGTGACAATCCTCGCACAAGTCCCCGCTGAAGCACCTCCGGCAGTGACACGCGTGTGCTTCGACATCGTGTGCTTTGCAACCTGCGGGCCTGTTTTGCACAAAGAAGCTGCATGGCTTGCAGCGCCCAATGCTGTGAAACACTGACCCCATTGACCTCACGGGGGCACTTCTATCACAGGTTGACGTGGTGACGATTAGCCCTCCAGATTCGATTGACCATTGCTTCAGTGAAATGTTGCTGCCCAAGTCAGAAACCTGATGGCCATCAAAATCCATCTACCATTGCTTGTGGTGGAAGTCGGTACACCTGGACCCCAACTCATTGCTTGAACGGTATGTACGCCCAGTTGGATTCCTTGTTGGGAATACTTCTGACGGTTCAAGCTCCGAGTCCGAGCGCCCGGGCGGGTGTTGTGGCGGCCCTGGTTGACAAGCGGCCTCGCATGCATCTCCCTAGTAGCAGCAACAGCCAGCAACAGCGGCAACAGCGAGGCGGCTCTACATTGCTTTCAAAGTTCCAAAGCTGCTTCTACAGGTAGGATACGGCCGACTCAAGGATGGCTCGCGGGGTATCCAATGGGCTTCAGAGTTTTTGTCGTGCAGTTTTTGTCCATGGGGAGATGAGTCGCGCCCGAGCTTAAAAAGTTCAGAGGTTCTGACAAGCAGCTCAAGGAGATCCTTTTGCACGTGAAACTCCAAGCTCCGGCCTGCTGCCCGTCCGACACACGACAAGCAGCACCTTCGCGACTCCCACACGCTGGAACGACAGTGCACCAGCGTGCCCAGACCGCGCCTCCTAGCAGCCTGGGAGCCTGCGTCAAGCGTAGAAGCGCACAGCTGACCAGATGTGACCCGCATGTCTACGAGGGCCTCACCAGAATCGCGCAGTGGCTGCGACGGCTGGCCTCGCGAGGCTTGTTTTGAGCGGATCTTGCGACAAGTGAGTCCTGCGCTTTCCCAGCGCTTTCCCGATCACGGTCATGTGAGCATGTATAGTGCCATGTATGACCACTTCCATGACGGATGCTCGACATGAGCTCGGCTTGCAGCTCTGAGGAGCACGTGCTCGGTGTGCCTCGCTCAGAACAAAAGCACCCAACTTTGGACTTGATTGCATGTCTCTTTGATTGTACACCACCGTGTCCATGTTGCAACACTGACTTTAAGCAGAGGTCCCAAAACATTGCGAAAACGCACCAGAAGCATGTCAGCACGACCAGGAAGTCATGATCACTGTCACATGCGAACGGTCCTGAATTGCTTCGGAAAGCACGGGTCGCAACTAGCTGACGCCATATTACCACCCACGACGAGCACTGCGACGAGGACGACCACGACGACCGATCAGGACCAGGAGACTGTCAAGAGACAACGAGGAGAGCGGCAAGAGATCAGCAAGTCACCACCACGACACCAGGAGACCGCGAAGAGACAACCAAGAGACCACCGAAAGTGCACCCGAACGACCACCAGGGGACCACAGCAGACCACCACCAGGAAACAGTGTGGAGACTACCAAGAGACCACCAAGAGACCCATCAGAAGACCAGCAAGCGACCCGAGGAGACCAGCACGAGACCAGCAGACCACCAGGACAATGCCAACATGCTTTCCCCAAAGTACAGGTGCGTTTCTCCAAGCACTGGCGAGAGCACGGCGGAATTGCATTTCCCCCAGACCAGGCGGAGGAGGAGCCGGTTGTGTGGGAGGCTGGCAGGATGTTTATGAGTCAGTTGACGGCGCTTGCAATTACATTTCACAGCTCTGGGCAGAAGTCGTAGGGCGCCAACTTCCCGCGGCGCGCCCGCATGCATCTGATACCTCAGAGCAAGTCTCCAGCTGGCAACGGTTCATGCCGAGCCTTCGTCGTGCGTGGCCGAGAATCTTCTAAGACTGGTGTGCCCCCGATTGCCCCCGCGTCTGCTTCAGGGCACTTGAGGACAAAAGCCGATGAGCTGCGCACATCGTCAAGCTGATATCGTGGTATATTGGATTATAGTATGTTATAGTATAGCATGCTAGACTATTTTGTATGCGTTTAGTTTAGTATGGTATACTCTGGTATACTATGGCATATTATAATACATTTGTATCATGGGTTGGCTTTGCTGGCTCAGGAACATTGGCATTGCCGCGCTACCTGCTTTGACACCAGTACGATCCCTGAGCCAAGAATGCACAGCACTTGCACGGGCCACCAGGGCTACACACATTAGACCGTGGAAACACACACACACACACTCACACACACTCTTACCAGCGGACGGTCACTTACGTAGAGTACTACACATCATCACAGAGATTTGCTGCACGGCTGGCTTCCTTTCTTCGGGGCTGCCGACAGATGCAGGTTGAGCCGCGCTTTGCTGAGGGCAGGAGTCGATGCAAAAGCATCTACCAACACAGGTCCGAGGCTTGCTTTGGAAGGTTTCTAGGGCCGATGTATGCCAAGAGCTACTTGTAGGCCAGGATACAATGATGACCTGTGTGGTATCAGCTGAATTCTAGGTGAAAGTGACCTGCAAAGTCTCACTACATGAGGCTGAGCATGGCACGGTCCAAGCTGCAAAGTTGCTTAGTTGAGGCTCATACTCAGACTTCCTCACTCTTCACTCACATTCCGCGTAAGCCGTTATGAAAAACGGGAAAACTGTCAAAAGTCCATGGTTGCAGCCACCAGGCCAACTACAGCTGAAGATTAGGACGATGCCTCATCCAACCACATCCTCAAGTTGTCCTTGTCGGCGCAAGTTCACAGCCGGCGACCAAGACACCATCGCAAACCATCCCTCGCCTGCATGATGGCGACAAGAGGCTGCGCATCACGAACAGCTTCCTGGTCAAATGATAACATCGGTGTGAGTTTCAATCCAATAGCCATGACACACCACGTGTCGGCCTCTGGCATTCCCTCGAGGCTCCGCGCTGCTAGCTCCAGCGACTCCTGTCACCGCAGATGCTCGGATCGACCGAGTGCGCTTCGATGAGGTGCCTTGACGATCTGTGCAGCCGCTGCAGGGTCCTGTCACAGAGCAGCAACAGAGACCACCCAAGCAGATTGCGACAGTCCTTCATCACGGTGTGCTTGAACACCTCGACCAATGAAGTCGTTCACAGGCTCCATAGCGCACTCTTGAGCTGCGGACCGCGTGGTTTAGAGCCACACCGAGCCGCACGGGATGGGTGACCATTAGATGCTCCTCGGCCTGCGGCAAGCGGGTGGCATGTTGGAGAAAAAGTGTGGTCGCCAACAAAAATGCAGATATTGTTGGGTCTCCTCGCCCGTGGCGGTCACGTAAGACTCGGCCGCACTAGCGAGAGCCTTTCTGAGTCCAAGATGAGGGCGGTGCATCAAGTTGCAACATGCGTGGTGGACCAACTATGACCAGGGCCTCTCTTTGACCTTCTCCTTCCAGAAACTCGGCCAAGTAGCGATAGTAGTCCGCCTGCAAGCCACTGACTGCAGTGAGGGTTTTTGATGTGGGCTGCGTTCGGCCCTGCCTGCAGCTTCAGGTAAAAGACCTTGGGCTCACCCGTCTCCGCCTTTGGCCTTGCAAGTAGGGCCGTGGCCGTTCACGACACCCCGTCCCAAGAAGCCTCCTTCTTACCTGTTGCAGCGTTCTCCCAAGCACCAGACAGCAGAATCCCCTCCAGGATCTCCAGCACCTCTCAGTCGAAAGATGGAGACGGGAGAAGCTCCTTAGACCCTGAAGCTCCGATGCCTGGATGCAAATGCCCTGCAGCTCCAGGCGGACCTCTCGAAGCCGCGAGTACCCGCAACTCCACTCCGTGCCATTCCGAGTCCGTGCCTTGCTCAGGTATCCCGCGGCCAGGGCGGCGTTCTTCTCCTTCTCGGCATCGGCCTCAAAAGAGTCCAGAAGACAAAACGGCGGTGACACGCTGTGGCACATTTCACATTTCCCTGCCTCCTGCTCTTGGACACTCTTGGCCACGCGTACGGCGAACCGTCGGCTGGCCATGAGCCCCTGGTCGCAGAACGTGCAGGCAAAGCCCGAGCTCCGCCCGAGCTCCTGGTAACATTAACCGGACCTTGTAAGCCGCCGCAAACATTTCGCGCTCCTCGCGCGCCAAAGCTTTGCCGGCCTTAACCCGCTCCTTGGCGGCAAGAAGCTGTGGCAGACATAGAATCGCTCGAACTCTCGGCCTTCATGTAGTCCACCATGTCTTCGTAGCGCTCTGCCCGTTCCGCGACATTGGCTAAGACCACCGCTTCCTCCTCCAATAGACAGAACTTAGCGAAGAGGGTCTTGCAGAGAAGGGGCTTGGTCCTCGGGCGGAAGCTTCTTACGACCCATGTCAGGCCCGCACGAACATGGCCCTGCGAGCGGCTCCAGCTGGCCAGAATAGTGGACTTTGTATGGTAGGTGCTGGCTTCAACTGCAGCGCAGATATGTGCAGATTGCAAGCGCATCCCTTCGTTTGGTTTTCGATGAACAGCTTTTCATGCAGCTAGGTCACTGGGTCCAGTCGCAGAGAAAGCGGGTTCACGCAATGGATACCAGGCTGGGCGCATGTTCACGTGCAGACCCCACAGCACAGCTGACGGCATCCTTCCCCTCACCTGTCCCTGACTTTTACTTCGCTCTCCTTCTCCGGACTCAGGTCCAGCACCCTTTTTAGGGCGAGGGAAGAGACAGAAGCATGATCCTTTCCTCCTTGCTCAGGAATAGAAAGAAGTGACTTTCCACATGTAGGGAATCTAAGGTATAAGCGGCGTGTTGCTAACATGGCTCATGCTTGAGCAAGCCGGCGTTCGGCTTGCCTCTGAACGGTCCTTAGAAGCGACTGCTGCCGCACCAGTAAGAACTTTTGGAACTTTAGCCCCCACTCTAGCCCTGCCTCTCACATGTCCTGCTTGCATTTGCTTACCATCTCCAATCTGCTGCTGCCAGTGCCCTATTATTGCAATCCCAGCTTGACCAGCTGAGCACCGGGCTGCATCCAAAAGCTGCCGGCCGGCATGTCCGAAAGCTCCGACACCTCACCACTCAGGGCCGGCATCTCCGCCGCCGAAGGCGCGGCCTGCCCGAACCAATGGCTTTGCATTGGTGCCGCCAGGTTATAGGGTTTAGGGGCTATAGGGGGGTTTAGGGTTTCAGGGTTTGGGGTTTGGGATTTAGGGTTTAGGGGTTCGGAGACAAGATCAGACGGCTTTCTGGCAGGCACTAGATGCCAACTGCTACCGCGGGTCGCTGTCGCTCTGGGACCCTCTCGGCCTGCGCAGGACCAGCTTTGGCCCGGGCTTGCTCGTGCATCTCCTCCTTGTACTGGGAGAAGGCCTGTCCAGCTTGGACGGAACTGGAATATATAATATATAATAATAATGATAATAATAATAATAATACTCATAATCATAATCATAATAACAATAATAACAATAATAACAATAATAATCATGATAAACAAGGGACTCAAGAATCCGACCGTTTCGATCTTCCGCCATCGCCCTCTTAGCTAGACACCCCAAGACTGGCCTTCTCCATCATGGTCGTCTCGCCGGTGTCCAGGTTGTGCAGCAGGAATGGCAGGACTTTGCCTTGAGGGCAGTTGCGATCGCCTGCGGACGGACGATCAGCGTCACATAAGAACCATGAACTTCGTGGATGGATGAATCGATAGATAGATCGATCGATAGAACCATGAACTTCATGGATGGATGAATCGATAGATAGATCGATAGATAGCTAGATTAAACAGAAAAATAGAAAGACAGATAAGTAGGCAGACAGATGGAGAGATAGGTAGATAGATACACGGACGACAGACAGACAGACAGACAGACAGACCGACGGACGGACGGACGGACGGACAGAAAGACAGACAAAGACAGACAGATAGAGGGATAGAGGCGTAGAGAGCTAGAGAGAGAGAGAGAGAGAGAGAGAGAGAGAGAGAGAGATAGATACAGACATAGAGAGATAGAGAGAGAGAGATAAACAGAAAGATAGATAGATAGATAGACAGACAGATAGAAAGAGAAGAGAGAGAGAGAGAGAGAGAGAGAGAGATAGATAGATAGAGAGAGAGAGAGAAAGATAGATAGATAGATAGATAGATAGATGGATAGATTGATGGATAGATAGATAGATAGATAGATAAATGAATAGATACGTAGGTAGAGAGATAGATAGATCGATAGGTAAATTAGGTAGGTTGGGTAGGTTAGGTACGTAGGCAGGTAGGTAGGTAGGTAGGTAGGTAGGTAGGTAGGTAGGTAGGTAGAGGTAGGTAGGTAGAGG